GATAGGAAACAAACTTTTTCATTAATAAATAAAATATGGGATGCAAAAACAGTTGGATAAGGAATCCAACTACGAAAATGAAATACACAATGAAACAATAAACCTATAAACCTATAAATCAAAGGAAACTTTCCATCCTGCTAAAATAGCAAAAAATAGAATCCTTTGTACTCCTTTGTCACCGAGCCCAAAATGTTAAAAAATGAACAAGCTCCCATAAGCCCTCCATACTATCACTCCGATCTTCAAAAATTCTTACATTTTATTCCTTCCATATAACCCAAAACGTGGCCATGATAGCACATTTCCAAAGAATAACACCATTATCAACTCTTCCAAAACCTTTAACAGCTTTAACAAACAATGAATATGATGCTGCTGGAATCACCCAACTCAACCCTACCACTCGAAACAACAGATGCCATAATATCAAAGCAGCCGGACAATGTAAAAATAAATGATCAATGCTCTCTACATCACCTTTGCACATCAAACACCACTGGGGTGAAAGACAAGTGTGAAGCCTCTTCTGAAGCATATCATTAGTGTTAATCTTATCATGTATTACCGTCCATGCAAAGACTTGGTACTTTAATGGGCACTTCAGAAGTCCAAATCATCAAAGCACCGGTAAACAAAGGATACGGATTTTCATCCAACAATGACTCAAAATTTAAATGAGAAAAACTCCTGAAGACTTATTTAACCATTGTCTTGTGTCACTAGAACCTTGATTAACTGGGACGCTATTAAGAATATCAAGAACAGACTTCAAATCTATAGTGTCTCTATCATCAAGATTCTTACGAAAAACAAAGTCCCAAGAGTACGGATAATGGTATGACCTAATCATAGATGCAATGGAATACCCATGAGAAGAAGACAAATAATAGAGCAAGGGATACAAACATGAAAGTGCAGACCCACCCATCCAATTATCCTCCCAAAAGCGAACTCTTCCTCCATTCCCCACTGTAACCTTTACATCTTTGGAAAACCTCGTCAATCCCCGTGAAATGAATTTCCATGATCAGCGAAAACTTCCCCTCTCAACCCTATTAGGGTCCCATTCATTGGCCTGAAACCAATATTTGCTCTTGAGAATGAAATGCCAAAGGGAATTTACTTCCAAGGGAAATCTCCAAGTCACTTGCCTACCAAAGCAGTATTTCTCATCTTCACATTACCAATTGACCAACCACCACCATTCCTAGATCTAGAAACCACCCCCCAAACTAATCAAGTGATCTTTCCTCCCCTCCCCACTACCCTCCCACAAAAATCTTGTATCATTTTTTCAAGTGTCATAGCTACTTTCCCTAGTATTTTAAATAAAGATAAAAAGTATGTGGGAATACTAAATAGAGCTCATGAAACAAGAGTTAACCTTCCCCCGGTTGATATGTATGCCTTCTTCCACCCATCAAGTCTTTTTCCCACTTTCTCATCTACAAAGTCCCAAAATTATAATAACAATGGATTCCCACCCAACGGCAATCTTAAATACTTTAAAGGCCACTGTCCCACCTTGCATCCCATAAATCCTCCCACTCTATTGATCTTATCTTGATTTGAATTAATGCCCACAAGGACACTTTTATGTATATTCACCTTTAATCCAGAGACCAATCCAAACATCTCAACAATATTCTTAAAATTTAAAAGTTTGTCCTCTTTTCCCAAAGAAAAAAATATGGTACCATCAGCAAACTGCAAATGAGAGACCGCAATTCTATCCCTTCCCACACTTAAACCTTCCACAACATTGCAAGATTCAACTTTCCTCACTAACCTAATCAACTCAGCTGCAACTAATGTAAAGAGAAAAAGAGATAAAGGTACCCTTGCCTCAATCATCTAAAAGCCTTAAATCTACTCTTAGACTTTCCATTCATCATAACCGAAAAGTTCATAGAGTGCAAGCTGTTACAGTTAGATATGATCCAAGAAACAAGAAAGATAGAGAATCTTATTAAGGCACATTGAGCCTGTTCAAAAACATAAACCAAACATGCATAATAGAGACCCTTATATAGTAGGGTAACATAAATAAGGTAAACGACTAAACTACACCTAGTAACAAATATACTAAACTATTCTAACATACTCTAGAAACCCCCCCTAAAAAAAACACATGAAGTGGTAGCAAAAAACATTAAGAGTTTGTAAAGAAAAAAACAAAAATGCAATATGGTGCGAGACTTGGTAAAGAAATCTGTTGATTTCATAATAAAGGAAAAAAGGGGAGAGAGATGGTGGTCAGCCGAAGGTGATGGCACACAAAATGGCAGTTAATCTCAATATATTTAGTACGCTCATAAAAGACTTAGTTGTGAGAAATCTAAATAATACTATGTTATAAGCAAGGAGCCATTGTAACTAGACTATCTCAGTGTGGTAGATGCCATTACACGATATTTAGCTTCAACAAAAGAATGAATAACTATCGTTAGCTTCTTACTTTTCCAAGATATAAGAGAATCACCAAGAAAGAGACAAAAACTAGTAGTGGACTTGCGATCCATAGCATCGCCAGACTAATCAGCATCAGTGTAAGACCTAAGTTCCATAGAAGAGAGTTAGAATTCAAATAATCAAATATTAGGGTTTAAATTTA